GCTACAGTAAAAGAACCACATAAGACAGAGGAGACTTAAATAATGAAGAAAATCTGCAGAGAATTTGATCTGAAAATATGTTATTTCAAAATTGAATCAATGGACATAATATAAATGTTTGTTAAAAAATATGTAATTTGCAGTTCGCTAATGGTTTGTTTGTAATTAAGCACAAAGCTACACAATGGGCTATCTGTGCTCTGCCCACCACGGGTATCGAAACCCTGATTCTAGCGTTGTAAGTCCGCAGACATACCGCTGTGCCACTGGGGGCTTTGCTAATGGGTAAAACCATTATGAAATTTACACGTTAGTTGCCAAGCAAAACCGCCGGTAAATAAAGGAATAAACCGATTTGAAATAAATTTGTCATTTTTAGCCGGTCAATTTAAATGCAATCAACAGTAGTAAAATTAATGGAACATTTATGTATTAAACTACAATATACTACGTACACTCGATCACTTGAAGCCAATGCGACAGCAATAAAATTCATCAAGGTACTTCTACAAACGCTCAAAAGCAATAGATTAATATATCGATTACTACAAATAGTTCTAAAACTTCTCAGGTGGATGTTTAGATCGTCAGCCTGTGAGAGAATAAAACAACAACAACACAGTAAACGGAACAAACTGTCAGAAGTCTTGATACCGGAGAAACTTGTTTGGACACATTCGTGTGGCCTCTTCAGTCTCACGTTGTCTTCTGGCATGAAATGTGGTCAACAACGCCTATATGTTTGTTCCGTTTACTGTTTTTGTTTTCTCTAACTGCTATACACGCCTCCCACACCCAGTGGCACAGCGGTATGTCTGCGGACAAACAACGCTAGAAACCGGGTTTCGATACCTGTGGTGAGTAGAGCACAGATAGCACATTGTGTAGCTTTGTGCTTAACTACAAACAACAACAACAGCTGCTATACACGATACTTTATTATTTTATGACTTGTGTCTATAGAAGGACTTTATGGCAAGGGTCTGCTATAAAAAAATGTTAAATCGTCACAGTTCCTTATAGCAGCTTTTCGAAATTTACATTTTCTGCCACAAATATATCTTAAATCATAATTATGATTACACATATCTTAAAACATAATTATGACTACACATGATTGACTCTATAGGTTTGCGAAGATATATATACAAGATAAATTGTTCAAGTACTTATTAACTAAATATTGTCTTTGTTATAAGGCTGAGAAGTTTTACTGATTATTGAATTATTTATTACCTTAATATGGTATTTGTTTCTCGAAGAGGATTAACATGATGTATTGCGGGATAAACCAAATTAAAACACTATACTGCAACTTTTATTGTATACTGATGAAGTTGTTTTGATTCAAAACCAAACAATTAGCAACTGTGGGCTAGTCAATAACAAATTTATGTTTGTATTAACTTGTATTGTAGAAAAGATAGACTAATAGTTTGGATCAAAATGCTCAAAAATTCAGTAAACAAACCTTAGTGAAGTATGTAACGAAAAATGTGATAGTTCGCTCACTTGGTAACAGTCCGATCGGCTCTTCCGACGGCTCAGAAGTGAATCTGAGAGCTTATAACAACAACAACAAAAAAAAACACAACAACAACTGAGTTTTGATATCTATGTGGGCAGAGCACAAATAACCAATTGTGTAGCTTTGGGCTTAACAACCAACAAAAACAAACAGCCCGATGTATTAAATATATTTTTTTCATTAATAAAAATGCATTGTTTTTTCTTTCGTATTATTACGAATTAATAATGACAGACATACTAAATTATTTACCTTTTTTTCTTCTTGGGTTAACACAGGAGGCACTGTGGGTGATTTCAAAGAAGAAATATTAGCAGAAGACGGGAGCATATCTCTTTTGAAAAGTGGTACGTCACCTTTCGGAACTGACACTGCAGTGGATACTAGTGGGCTCCAAAACGAGCACTGTACAGTCAATGTTCTCTTTTCATATTGTTTAGCGTTAAACAATTCTGTTGAACTTGCGTTTTCCTGATTGCAGGTTTCAGTGTTAGACTTGTTTTCAATTATCCTTGAAGGAGTAGGAATTGGGGAAATTGTGTGCTGTATTGAGATATCGGGCTCTATGTCACACAATATATTGGGTTCAATTTTAACTTGGACATCTTCTAGTTTAGGGTGATATAAAACGTCATCTGTTACAACTGCGTCTTCTTCGATATGTTGTACATTCGTTTCGGTATCTTCATCTTTCTCGAACATTGTTTCGATAGTTTTCTCTTCGCACTCCTCTTCATCTTCTATCTTTTCTTGTTTCAAATTATCTCTAAAGCCTTCTGTTTTTCTATCGGAAGAAACTTCCGTATCTGGTTTACTTTCTACTTCCATCGAGCCTGATGTCGTTTCCGAGATCGGAAACAAGATTGAAGCTTCATTCTGAGCTGTAAACTGTTGCCCTGCCTGCACTGATGCTGGGGTGTGTTTGAGGTCATCTGTCTCTTCGATCGTCTAAAAAAATCATTAATACTCTTAATTAAAACTAAGCATATAAAAAAAAATTATCTCAATTTAAGCATATTTTCCTCTATAGACAAATTTAAAGAACTACATGCAAACAAAATTAGATTTGAATTTAGTAAAAGTTTTATATGTATCGTATGATAGACCTTCAAAGATGTAAAAGTAATAAGAAAACAATAAAAAACACTTATATCAACTGTATAAAACTAGATTAGAAAATATAATAAAAATGTTCAAATTTATCCAATAAAATTGTCAAGTAGTAATATTTCTCTAATTATATGTTTCCACTTATGTAAGTTTTATGGTCACACGACAGAAATCGGACAACTCTAGTGTCGACACCCACTGATGTGGCATCTAGTTTCGAGAGTGAAGTCATTTCCGCAATCGGAAGCAAGGTTAGAAGTTCATTCTGTGCTGTAACCTGTTGTCCTGGCTGCACTGGTGCTGGGGTGTGTTTGAAGTCATCTGTTTCTTTGATTGTCTAAAAAACAAGAATAATTTATACAGTTTTTTTTTAAATTAGCATATAAAATAGCAGTGATCTCAGTTTTAACTCGTGTTATTAAATATTTTCATTCAGAGGAAAAATTAAAGGATTTAACACAAAATGATATGCAGCTAATACGTAATTAAAATTCAGTAAACATTTTATAATTATCGAACACGAATCAGCACAGCAGAATGATAAAAAAATATTTGAAATATTTTGGATAAAAAAGTAAATGTATGACGAAAACAATAGAATAATTTAAATCAGCGGTTTTAAGGTAGATGAGTAAGTGTGGAAAAAGACAATCAAAGTTATATACGAATCTATTAGTGACATTTCTCCAGTTGTAATACTATTCTTTATATGAGCCTCATGCTTAGATGATGGAAATCGTACAAAAGTGTATTTTAAACTATCTGGAGCATCAAACCGAGCCTTAATTTCATACTTTCAAATGTCAACGGTTAAATGTTTATGATGGTTTCAAGCACTCAAACAAATTATACATTCAAGAACATAAGTTTTATAACCTAATTAAATTTTATATGATCTTATTTTGACTTTTCTCTTTACGATGATTTTGAAAATCAATGAATAATTTGCTCAAGAAAAGAAAACTAGACAGATATGTTTTTAAATAACAATTAACGTGGTACTAAAACTTTTCATTGAAGTTATAGGGTGAGAGTATATGAGATTACTATAACTTTTCTGCGATAAACTGTCCAGTTGGACATAATCTGATAATTATGATATTATTAATTTATCTTTTAAAAAAGCCTTCTTCCGATTCTTTGGTGCATAATTTTTGTTAAATATTGCTTTCCTTGCCATACGTGAAATTTTTCTGCCCGTACAATTGACATACAAATGACTCAAGTGCTTATAGTAATTCATCTTATACATTTTTCTCCTGC